CACTGCGTAGATTGTGGGCGTCATGAAGTGTGGTGGTATGGCCGTACGTTCTCATGCGACTTCTGGCATGCCTCCAACCCATGGAAGACGCACTCAATCAACTGCGCAGATGATTGCTTACATCAATCCTGATGCTGCCGGCGCGCTGACTGGATACGCCTAGCGGCGCACTGTCTTACATGCTTCGAAAAATAACACACCCCGGCCCAGTATAGGAGGCTCTCATAGCTTGGTCCACCGGTGACATGGATGCTGCTCAGACACAAGGGGCAGTCCTCCAATATTGAGAAGTCTGGATGAGCCTGACGGTCTATGGAGGACTCATACGAGTTCCTGATGATCCGGACCAACAATGTGCAACAAATCCTGATCACAGTCTGTTGATACAGCTTGAGCTGTCACCACCCAAAGCGCAGTGATTTGTGGTTGGCCGACCCAGGCCTGGGATGTCGAAGGTGACGGAGGCATAGTCTCTCACTTGTCACAGACAGCCGTGGAACGGGTATAAAACCCTCATGCAACAGCCCGAAGAGCTCGTCAGCTGGAACGTCTCCTCCTTTCTTCTTACGCAGCGCGTAATCTCTTCGCATTCTCTTCCTCTCTCTGCCATCCGTCGCTCTTTGCTATCTAGCACACTTCCTTCGACGTCCACCGTAACGAACACCACTTTTTGGATCATGAAGTTCTCCACCGTCGTCTTCTTCGCTGCCGCAGCCGCCGCCTCCGTTTTCGCCGCCCCGACTCTCCAAGCGCGCGGCGTCGACCCCGCCCTTGTACCCGAATTTGGTGTCCAGAGGGGTGCTGGCCCCGACGGCACAGGGTGAGTTCACCTGGTCTCGCAGAAACGCTCCTACGCTGAGATCGATAACAGCAACTGCGTCGGGCTCGGCGGCAAGCTCATCCCCTGCTCGTGCCCGCCCGACCGCGGCGAGTTCATCGCCGTACGTCTCCCACTCCGTCCCTTCCCCACCTCGCCCTCGCTGACAGGCCATTTCATCGCTGGGTTAGAGCCTGAACGCGAACGTCGCCGCGGGCCACGCGATCAACAACCCCGGCATCGGGGTTTCGTTCCCGACGGGCCAGAGCAAGGCGGACCAGCAGGCGCGCATCGTCGCGCTCCTCGTCACCCTCCAGAACATCCAGGGCCCCGGCAAAGGCTGCCCCGCGGTGTCGACCGTGTACGGCCAGCTCCAGCAGCAGATCAACGCGCTCCCGTGAACGGGGTCGTCTGGGGGAGAGTGAGGGGTTCCCGCTGCTATGCATACCGGGAGAATATGCTGAAGAACAACAAACGTTACGCAGGCAGGGTGCTACTGTCCCTCACGATGTGCTAGTTTTGACGCAATTACTAAATCGACGGGTGCCAGTCACCTCCGTTCCAGCTGCCTACACTTCACCTGAGACTGAACTGTGTGCAATATGATGTGAGAGAAGTCTGAACGGGCCCGGCGCATCACAACGAGCTCGACTGCCTTCCGTACAAGATGCAGCTCTAGTGACTGATGTCCACAAATGTCCTTCGCGGATATGGACATAGCGTGGCATGCCACCTCATTCAGGGAAAAACCGCAATCACGCTCCCACTTATTCCCTTTGCCATTCCGTGCGGCAACCACCGAGTTTCCGAGGCCCCGTGGGACGACAGCGGTTCAAGGAGCAGAATGCACACCTCGCCCTGTACACCTCCCCGCCAGCGCGCAAGCTCATCCTGCAGCCCCGCGAGCCGAAGAACAATTGGAGGCGCAGGTGGTTCCCCGATGCACGCGGCGGTCGCGCCGGCTGCGGAGCCTGTCGGAGAACAGGCGGCCAAGGCCAGCAGAACGCTGAGGCGGGCCCGCAGTCGCGACGCCGGAGGCCAAATCGAAGCCCGACGCATCCGCGCGCAATGAATCGGGAGTGGAAGCGGCCGTGGCTTGGGTCCAGACTACTCCCATAGTATTGAGGGATCCTGCACAGGACGCCGCCGTCGCGAACTGCGACGCGGACGTCCGTGCCAGTGGAGGAGATGGCACGGCGGGCGGGGCGCGCGGACTATGCTGCGGGAACAATCAAGCGCGTCCAAGTCGCGTGCCGCACGATCTCGATGAGAACGCATATCTGGGGTGGCGGCGCAGGCGGGGGGCAGAGGGGAGGTGCTTGCTCCGTTGGCGACAGTGCCGGAAGAGGAGCACGATGAGTATGAGCCCCACGATAGCCCCGACGGTGTTCCTTGCGAGTCTGCCGGCGTCGGGGTCTTGCGCGCACTGAGAGGTGAGAGCGGGAGGCAACGAGGCAGTGGAGCACGATTTGCCGGATAGCGGGTGGTTGCACGGTTTCAATGGTTGACACGGGCGAAACGAGTGCATGCTTGCAGAGAAGACTGTGGGGAATAGTGATGATAGGATGTGAATTGCGAGAAATACGTTGTTGACTGGCACCCGGCGCTGGTTCCAAGGAAGTGGAAACGAATCCGTTGAGGGAACGCGAGACAAAACGGCGGTTGGACAGTGACAATCACGCCCTGCTGAACTACAACGGTGCACGCATATGCGCAGCCTCATTTCCGGGACAACTCCTATACGATATGGCAAGATGGGTATACACGAATGGTTCATACATATCAAGTGCCGCATCCTCTGAAACGGTACAGCGTCATAAGACTGAGTCATCTTCGTCGGAAGCCCGTAGAACGAGGTCATTGGATCGCATCGATCTAGGACGAGACAGCTCAGCGCGATGGGGGGCAAGGCGAGAGGCATACTACATGAACATCGTCCATGAACGCTACGAACCGAACCATCAATCCTCCTCCTCGTATCGCGGTGGCGGCTCCACAAACATGTCGTGCATCTCTTGTTCGATGTCGCGGAGACGCACTAGCTCCGCCTGGAGGGTAGCGACCTGCGCCCGAAGCGACGTGTTACCACTACGTGCGGATGAGGCCGTATCGCTCCGGACGGTGGGAATGCGCGTGAGCGACTGAGCAGCGGAGGCATCTCCCGTCGTGCGTGCCGCCGTTCGCGCAAGATGTCTCGAACGCGAGGGATTCGACGGAGGGGTGTGCAGACGTAAGGGGGGGTCGTCCGAGGCGATCAAATCTGCAACACCCAGCGCGGGGCGCGGAGGAGCGGAAGGCGTCGACGCCACGATTCCGGCTTCTCTGCTGTCCCAGGAGGATGTCTTCTCCTGTCGACGATATCTGCGCGACCAGAGCACGGGGAGACCGAATGGATCGCGATTGGTGGTGTCAGCACTCTCGACATTCACGGACCTCAGGAATGCGCGTCGGCGATGTCGATGGAGATAGCGATAGAGAAGGAGGGCAATGATCGCAAGGCCAATGATGCCGCCGACTACACCGCCAACAATGGTCCCAACCCCTGCATGCGAGCTGCCATTGCCGGACTGGATTGCAGTCACTGACGACGCTGGAGGCGCCTGTGTACCCGACGAGCTGCCACTGGATATGGCGCTTGTGATGCTGGAAACAGACACTGATGAAGAGTCGGTAGCCTCAGAGGTGTAGGAGATGTAGTCGAACAAGAGGATGGAGGCGTTGGGACCAGTGGCTCGGATTTCGATCGTGTGGGGTGCGTTCACGAGGTTGGGCTTGGTAAAGACGGGGACCTGATACAGGATATTAGACGTGTTGTCGGGTATGTGGATGTATTGGCCGTTATAGACTCCGTCGATCGAGAAGCTGAGGTTGGTGAGGGTGGTCGTAGATGGGACAAAGTTAGGGATGAGGTGGTAGACAGTTACAGCCGTCCCTGTGAAGCTTGCGGTAATGAATTGATCTCCTTCACCCGGATGGTAGGTCGTGTCATGCCATGTGCTGTCGAAGTTCTGTGAGACATTGACGACCTTGTACGGTAGCATATTGCAGTGAACACATCGAAGGCCTTGGACCCAGCTGCCCCCGGCGCTAGGTTCATATGCAGGTAGAGCTCCCGTGACGCTGTCGCCATTTTCATCGTCGATCGTTCGATTCACGGATGCATCCGCGACAGAGATGAGTAGAAGGAGAGCGGGAAGAACGACGCTGGCGAGTGTGCCATAGAGCGAGAGGGATATAGTTATCTGTACCATGGGCAAGTGAGCGTATTGTGCAGAGGTGAGCTATCAAAGTCTCCTTACCTGATGCTTGGTAGATGCGGCTGGGGGCAGTACGGTACACGTTCGGTGTCAACGCACATATGGCAGTTCGCAGCTAGTGTTTAGGTTGAACTGCCAGTGCATTGAGTTTGACGGTCATGGTCAGATTGGCATGGCGACAGCTTACTGAGATTCCTCAATTGCGTTGTACGTAGTTGGTATAAAGCTGTACTTGATGGCGAGCTGTTCCATCGCGTCCGGCATTTTGCACGATGCCACAGTGATGGGCGGTACTAGATCCACAAACGCTAGCAGCTAGAGTCATTGTGAGTATGCTGCGGCCCAATTCGACTTTCACGCAGATCGAGTCTGTGTATTGTCGTTGTACATGCAGGGATAGCTACTGATGTGCTAGACATGAGTACCCTTTTGGAGTCCAGAGTCGGTGTTCGCTGTGTACGTACCGAGTTTCCACCGGCGGCTATGCACGCTGCCGAACGCTTGCTTACATTACGGAAAAGACCTCACTGCGAGTCTCAATCACTGCTGGAGTAGCTGGTGTACTCTCGCTAACAATTTCTTGTACGGTTACAGCCATTACCACCCACGAGCGGCTACTCATGCCAGGATTTGTGGAGCAATTCTACGTCCGAGTTTCTACTTCTATCCCGATATACTACAAGCAGCTGCCACTGCAACTTAGCAGTGCCAAAACCCGGTCAGTATGTCCTGACTCGGAGCTAGTTCCTAAGCCCCTCGACAACCATTCGGTTATACGACTCCGGCCTGCAGTCCCTCGGGACCATACACCCAGTGAAGAATCAGTTTCGGGTGAGTAGACCATGTTAGTCACCGAAGAGTAGCCAGCTAGCTGTCTTGAGTATCCGTGTCGTATGCATGGCAAAAGATACTCCCGCTAGTGCTAGCCACACCAGCAGGATTCGAACCTGCGCTCCCAAAGGGAAACAGATCATCACAATATTCGAATCTGTCGCCGTAACCACTTGGCTATGATGTCATGGTTTGTCTCGCGTTCAATGTTTCGCTATATCCAAGGGAAACTTGCTCGTGCAGATTCGCATCCCGCCTTTCTCACGGGGCACATGCGTCCTCTCCACGCTGTCGACTGTTGCGGCTTGCTCTTAATCTCTGTTCAGAATTTGGTGTTCGCGGCAACAATCATTGCCGCGAACACGAGATCTTAACCAAGTCATACGAGGTCTAGATTGCCGGGTCTGGGACGATCCTGTTCAGCAATTTACGTACCAAGGACGACGGATCGCGCTGGTCGAGACAAGCCGGGAGCTGGGCCGGATGGAGGCTGTAGGTCCGTATAAATATTCCATCCCGGCGTTCGCAGACAGCTCATACTCGCACCTCTCGCACATCCACCATGGCCGCCCAGTCAGATATTCCTATGCGACAACGCGTCGAGGAGTACATCTCCAAACTCCAAGATGACATCGTCACCGCGCTTGAAAAACTAGACCCAAATGCGCCCCAGTTCAAACGCGACGCCTGGCTTCGCGCACAGGGCGGCCGCGGCCTCTCGTGCGTGTTCTCCGCACCCGTCCCTCCACCAGGCGTAGCCCCGCAAAACACCGCACTCGAAAAAGGTGGCGTGAACATCTCAGTCGTGCATGGTATGCTCCCCCCGCCCGCGATCAAGCAGATGCGCGCCGATCATTCTACCATACCCAACATCGAGTCGAGTGTCCCATTCTTTGCGGCCGGCATCAGCCTCGTAATCCACCCCCGTAACCCCCACGCACCCACCGCGCACGCCAACTACCGCTACTTCGAGATCACCGAGCCGCCTACGGAGGAGGAGCAAGCCGCAGGCAAACCGGGCAAGCTCATCGCGTGGTGGTTCGGAGGCGGCGCGGATCTCACGCCCTCGTACCTCTACGAGGAGGACGCGGTACACTTCCACTCGACGCTCAAGGCCGCGTGCGACCCGCATGGCGCGGCGGTCTTCCCGACGCTCAAGAAGTGGTGCGACGAGTACTTCTTCATCCAGCACCGCGGCGAGGCGCGCGGCGTCGGCGGCATCTTCTTCGACGACCTCTCGGAAGAGGCGCACAAGCGCTTTGCGGAGAGCGACGCGCGCCCGCGTACCGCGGACGAGATTTTCGCGTTCATCAAGTCCGCAGGGAACGCGTTTGTGCCGTCGTACGTGCCGATCCTCGAAAAGCGCGTGCGGACGCCGAGCGACGAGCACGAACGCCGGTGGCAGCTCATCCGTCGTGGCCGCTACGTGGAGTTCAACCTCGTCTACGACCGTGGGACCAAGTTCGGGCTCATGACACCCGGTGCGCGTGTGGAGAGCATTCTCATGAGTCTCCCTGAGACTGCGCGCTGGGAGTACATGAGCGAGCTGGGAACGGACCCTGAGTCTCGGGAAGGGAAGCTCCTCGAGGTGTTGAGGAACGCCCGGGAGTGGGTATGAAGGAAAGCGGAAGCAGTGTTATCATGTGAGTGATCATCAACGCCTTGACCACAATTGTTTTCCTGACGTCTCCACCAGTATTGTGTACGATCCCGTGTCTGTACGTAGAGTCTGTCCTAGATAGAGGTCTGGGCGCTTGCAGTCAACCCCGCTCTTTCTGCTCCCTCCATCGCGTGCTAGCTCATTCTGTGCGATCGTCTCCTCGTCGCCATCTGCATATTGTGCAATGCCAAAATACGCAAAAGTCATCAAGAATTCTGCCGCCACAAAAGCACAACGCCGAATATCCTAAGGCCGTGCTGTAACTTATGTACGATGACTCCCGCTAGCTCGCAGCCGATCGGTCAGTCATGCTCATTTCCGCCTGTCCTTTAGGCGAGCCCAAGAGTCCACTGCATGAGTGTGCCTACAAATGCGGAATGTAGTACATCTTCCCGCGATCGTCTGCGTGGGCGTTCGAGAAGACCTCGTGCAGACTTATTGAGGTATGTCCTTCCCGGGGATATGACCGCAAGACCGCTGACCGAGCAATTGGCTCTTCTTCGCTATGTGCTGGGGCCTCGCATGGGTCACAAGATTGCACCGCTGTGTTCACTTCGACAATTGTACTGCGATTGAGTTGTCTTGGTATGTAATAGAGATGGTGAGCGTTAGTCTCGCGCGGCCGTTTTGTCCCACAGAGACATTAGCAAGGTCAGCTGAGCATGCCAGCGATAGAAGCTCTTCGCGATTGATGCGATGGTGATTCTATTGTGTTGTGTCTTCTAGCGCGCTCGAAACCACAAGTACTCGCACGGTCTCTCTCAGCTCGACAACGGCGACGATAGTCAGTCGTGGTGCTATGGTTTCTCGACACAAGGAGGTGTGCTTCTCACTTGCTGTCTCAGACTTGACAATTCCGCTCCGCCTCGTAACTCCCGCGCGAAGGTGGACGAGATATACGCCACCTTTGTGCGATATGTCATCGGATTCTCCATGGAGTATATATGATGGCGCGCAGTTGACCTTCATGTTCTCTTTGCGCGCATATGCTCACCCTGCTAAACCACTCCCCATGTTAGACATCCGAGCTTCCAATCGTGAGTCAGGATGTACGCTTGTGTCTTGCCGTTATTCTCACTAACCTGCCGGATTCTCCGGCTAGCTCGCAGGAACAGAGTGAAGAGCCGCGCTCGCGGCCTACCGTCCAGGGTCTGCTCCGAAGTAACAGCCTCAAGGTCAACTGATTCGGATCAAGACCAAAGTGGGCGGACCACACAGACGCTGATGCGAACCTCGGGTCGCCCATCCCTCCGACTCAAATCCAGAGCATGGGTACTGGTCGAGAGGGAGGACGACGGGATTATCGTCTCGCAACTACAAGACGCCGTGCACTGCTGGAATGCCCAGGGGTGCATGTACCCCCTAGACTTTGAGCGGTACAGAAACATGACACATCTCTACCTGGACCTGGACACCATCGACTTCCCCGATAAGCATGCCCACGCCAAGTATGCTCTGCAGGACGACGCTATAATGTCCGACACATCCGCTGAGGACGGCAGCGACGGAGACGACGATCTCGTGGCTGACCACTTTCCAAATTCCTCTGCCGAGGCCGAAATCGTGGAGCTCTGCGGGAATGTTTCCCGTAGCTTGATCGCATTGAGCATCCGCATGTGCAAACCGGAGCTCGTATTGCCGTACCTTCCACGCATGGCCTACCAGATCGCGGAGGCTTGCCCGTCGCTACAAATACTCGAAATCGGGGACATACAGTGCGAACATTTCAAGCACCAGGAGGTGGGGCTCTTCGTTCGTGCCCGACACTTTGCAACTTTGGCTGACCGGCCGGACCACTCTTCTCCTCTACAACAGGAAGAGGACTTCACATATCTCGCTGCAATTGCAAAGAATGACGAGGTTACTGCACCTGCTGCGGTGCAGCTTGCGAACGATGTCCCGGTTAGCAGCCTCCGCACGCTCACGATCCATAAACGAAGCCTACCGCCGCGCTTCTGGAAGTGGTCCCCCCTCCTACATAGGCTATCCGGTTTCGCTAACCAGGTGCGTATCGTCGAGTCGCACATACTACCCGGACATCTGACCGACGCGTATGGGTGCAGCACGCATCCGGGGGATGCTCGGAGGATCTTACTTGCCGGAGCTCCGGTAACGGCGTGCAGTCTGACCATGTGCAGTTTGTGCGAGAAGAGGCCCGGCAGCTTGCACAAAGCATTGTCCAACATCCTGCGCTGCGCTTGAATGAAGCGCGTGTCCTCCTCGACGGGGACGCGGTCGCGTTTGCGACATCTCGGTAGAGTCGATGGGAAGCGGTCACGGGTTCGCTCGCAGTGATAGAATCCCCTTGTTCATATCGACCTATCCTACAGGGAATGTAGGGCATTCTAGATTGAAACCGGATCGCGCGGATACTCCGACTCGCTCCCTGGGTAGTCTAGGAAGCCTCGTCGTACTGTGTCCGAACGTTGAATAGCCGTCACGAAGTACAATAGCATGATATCCAACTTGCTCAACATACGTGGCATGTGGTATACGGATGACCCTTGCCAATCAATTACTGTGGCCGGATTTGTTGCGGTATGTTGATCACCGGAGACTGCCAGCTTGTACGACCGTTGATTTCGATGCATCGCGGTTGCAATCATTTGCTCTTCGCCACATGTGCAAGTCCAGGAATCCCCAGGTTGGCGACGCTTATAAAAAACCGAACGGCTGTGAGAAGCCGAGCGACACAATCATAGCAGATGTACTACTGGTTTCGCTACTACTTGCACCAAATGTCGGGATAACGGTGGCAGTCTCTGGCAGGCCACATATCGATGATTGAGTGTTGTCCACATCACCTTTGCGAACTCCACGATCAGGGTTCTGGCGCCGTGTTTGTGCATGACAATCTCCATCCCAGTAGCATGCATATATCTTGACGACGTTCCATTAAGTCCAGGTCGTCATGCCGCCCAAGCCACGGTCAACGGCCCCTATGCCTGAGAAGAGCTCGTTATAGTCACCGTGCAAGCTCGACGTGTGCAAACCTTTTGTCTTCGCTCGTATCGAACGCTCCCGTGTTGGTTTTGCATTTTTTGCGGAAAGAATAGGATGGACAGGTGAACGGCACCCTGAGCTGAGCTGAACAAATGTGGCAAGGATGGAGTCCGCATCAACGCATGTTTGGAACAGGATGGTACGAAGCGGACTTTGCACAACACATCCCTCGCAGGCTACATACCCAATACCCTTTTCCTCCGAATCACTAGCATAGATAGGAATCGGGTCACCTGCACGAGTCTTCAATGAGTTCAGCACGTCCTCAGGGAACATGTAGTGGTTGACCCGCGTCCTGTCGCGAAAGGCGGTGACCGTTTGGTCAATGTTTCTCCATCCAACAGTGTCGACATTTGTACCGCTCTGGATGGGGAGCCGACCAATGTTGAGATGGCGTCCGTCACGTCGGGCTCCAACTCATCGGGCACGAGCAACGTCTCTGTGTGGTCCCTCAAGCGCAGCTGTACGCGCGAGTCCGACCTCGGCAACCCGATGGACGTCGACCGCCCGCGCCACGCCTGGCT